AAGATGGGGCTTAGTCGATTGCCTATTACACCTATAGTAGAGGCCTATTGTGAGAGCCGACATTGATTAGGACTGACCTTTGAGAAGAAAACCTAAACAAGCACACAGAAGAGTAAACAAATCTGCAACAGCAAATATAACTTTCAAGCTCACCAATACATTGCTGTTTATGCAGTAAAAAATGAGAGTGCAACCATAACATGTGCTTCTGATTCAGGATACTGAGTATATAAACATGTTATCGGTATAAATTAGCCTATTTCTGCAGTCGTCTGGCTGCTGCCATGCGGTAAAGCTTTAGTTCTGTAAAAGGCCTCTTTATCTACAAACACCAAACTATGCAAATTAACTGCAAATATTGCAGTTGATGCCCCCCACAAAACATATCCATCTAAAAATCTGCTTAGAGCACTTACAAAAGCTACATTAGGCTTTATCCCGGTAGAAAGTTCACTATCAAATAAAATATCCAACCAGATCTTTTCCCCGCATCAGAATGTCTTCCAGCGACATTACTAGAACTCCAACCGTCAACATTGAAGTAGGTTCTGTATTTATTATCAATCATAACTTTGTGACCACCTACTACAAGTTCATGGAACGCACTCTCCGCAGAACCCTTGGAGGTCTCTTCCCCTCTACCACTGGAATCAGGTTCTCCATGAGCTGCAAGTGAAATAAAATGTAAAAAGGCAAAAGGAAAAAGTTAAAGCTATGTTAAAGAATTCAATGTATGGTGGTTGAAATGACTGGAAGTAGAATTGCATATGTACACAGATTGGTAACAAAGTACCCAAGAATGGGCATGGGAAATCAGGAGATATTGACATCTCGTCCATCAAGATAAAATTCAAAAAGGCGCCAATCATAAAGGCCAGATTAATAAAATTTCAAATCCTGGCTGATTTGTTCTTTCTAAGAGTCACAATTCAGATCCATGGTTATAATGGATTTAAAGCACGGTATTACAGAAATGATGCAGTGCACCATCTTAGAAACAATCACCGTACTGGCACATGATCATGCAAATCTATATAAGCTATTTCAAAGATTTAGAGAAGGGACAAATTTTCAAGACAAATTGTATTACCAGATCAATTAGTTTGATTAGTAAACGATATTAATTGTCTATTGAAGATAATGTCGCGTATATAATCAGGTATAAACATTGAAATCCTGCACCAAATATGACGTCTCATAACATGTAAGATTATATGGAAGAGGCCAAAACAGAAAATTGTGAGTAAAAATAAAAACTGCTCAAGCTTTGCTGTTTCTGTTCTAATTTCCTACACAGACTACAAATCAAAAACTAAGAAGTTCAACTAAAAATTCAACTCTAGATAGCACTTAGCGGTGTTAGCCTGATACAAATGCAGCATGTCCACTCAAATATGATTAAAGTAACTATCAGCCAGGAGAATGCAGCACACCCTAGCAGAACTGAATACATATTTTCTGAAACTATATGGCATAATCTTATTTATGATTTGAAATTTTTTACTTTCAGATTAACCAAGCTCAAGAGATACCATGCACGAAATTGTTCACAATTTACTACTACTGTAAGATCTCTAATACCAAAATTAACATAAAATTCGACGAGCAACTAACCTCAAAAATAGAATTGAAGCCAATAGTGAATGATATGATCTTTGAATCGTATTACACATTTAGAGATGGTATAATTTCCTTAGATTTGTACCAACTACAAGTTAGCATACCCCCAAAGAATAGTTGGGGAAGAAAATAAATACCACCTCCATAAGCAACATTTCAGCACAATAGCAATAACTAGATGAGATTAGGTTCAGAGAAGGAAAAGGACATGTAGAAGCCTTACTCTTTTTCAGAAAGTTTCAAGACATTAAAAAGGTTTATCTGGATGCATTTCTCAACCAGCACAATTGATAATTTTGTGATTCACATCCTAATAAAGAGTTCAGCAACTATTTAAAATGCGCTGGAGTGAACATTGGCTTGTGGAAACAAAATGTACGAGAATCAGAAGAATCTTAGCGAACTAACATTCACAGATGATTGAAAATAAGATTTACAACTATGCTAACAAAATATGCACACAGGTTCCAGCAGGCACATTGATAAACTGTTTCTCCCTATCCCATCTTACCTTCCATTCAAATTCTCCAAGATAATTCTAACATAAATTATGATCAAAGTTGTCGAGAATGTGTTGATTAGTAGCATTAGCATATAACTTTGAGAAAGAGAGACGTGTGATGCACTGACACAACGCGTCGCCAACAAGTTGATCAAATTTTTTAAAATTCTTCACTTATATAATATAAATTTTGTTTTATACTTGTTAAATTTTCTTGTTGAAATTTTTTAAATATGAGTACATATTTGTTATTTACTAATAACTTTGAGATAAAAATATATAATGTTTTTAATTTAAAAAAGAAAAAGAAAAATGCTTATAATAGAGTGTTCGAAGAATGTCAGCATCGACACGTGTCACATACGGACACGCAACCCTAGTTGAAGTGCCCGTACTACAAAATGTTTCATCGTGCACATTATAAAGGACAAACATCCACAAACGGCTTGAACTATCCTAAAATTATAGTCTGGCTACTCCAAACTTTTAGGACACCACTATAAAATCATCTTATACACATTCATGCTAACAATTAATAAAGAGGCTTCTGAGACAAGACAAACAACTGAATACCACTATATTTAAAATAAAACATAACAAATGGAGAGATAAATTCAGTTACACACATTCTTCACTTTCTCCAGATATCATGGAACACAAGTTATCATCTAAATTATTTTCAGCAATTGTTAAAATTTGTGAAAATATGATCGATAATAAACACAATTAATGATATCCGATCGTCCAGCAAAATACAGATCAAAACAATCAGTACTACAAATTTGAGGCAGAAAAGGACGCTAAAACATCAGCAACGGGAGTAAGTTTTTAATGATTAAAGGAAGGAAAAAGACACTGCTATAAATTGTGTACAAAAACAAGTTCATAAAGGATGCATCTCTAATATGAAAATTCACATGTATAACATCTTCTTGTTACAAACTCACGGCTAGATCACCATATACATGTCAAATAATTCAAGATGTAGTTTTTTAATATTCTCCAAGTAAAACTATAAGTTGTCTCCATCAGCAGTGTAAAAATGTGAATATACTGGATAACATTCAAGGCACGTCATATGCAAATAAGGCTATGTTTGAGCCGTATTTTTTCAAAAAATACATTCTTAAACAGTGATTTGACATTATTCCAACCACACATTTTTCAATAAAATAATATTAAATGCAAATTCAAAACTTCTCTTTATTTTTTAACCACATATTTTCTATCAATACACCATTCAAAAATGCATTCTTATGAATATAATGTGGTTCAAACAAGGGCTAAATATCTTTAAATTGTCTGCAAATTTCCATTGAGAAAATTATTTACAATTGTAAGGGCATGTATTGCACAATTCTAAATAGGCGAAAAGTAATCAGTCAAGGACAGTTGTAAAAGAGATGGAAACTACATAACCTTTCAACCATTATATCCGGAAAAACTAAGGAATTAAGGATGAAGATACAGCACATTAAGCTAATATGGGTCAAAACTATACCTGTTTATACCTCTTCCTGTTCTGCTCAGCCTACAATTGAAAAATTTTCTTTAGGAACTTCCAAATGCTAGAAATCAAGGTGAACACACTTGAGACTTAAAATGTAACAAATACTGATTCAATAAGTCAAACGAAACAAGAGAAAAAATGCCATTTGATCTTTGTCAGTGAACTGCATGTTAAATACTATAGTCTATACTGATCAAAACTTTGTGTAAAAGTTTAAGTTTCAAATTATATTAACAGAATATGCCAGCTCTTTTTATTTTTATAATTTATTTTTTTTGGGAAGTGCAATAAGATACTGAGTAGAAATTGGCCAGAATAAGCTCTTCAAGATTCAGTACTTAGCAAAAATTTATAACACAATAGAACCATCTATTTGGCCGTGCTTTCAAAACAGGTTGACACTCCAGCGTCTTAGTCTGAAGAGTAAATTCATTTTATAAGTTGTCCTGTGATCAAAAGAGCTGCAAAATGCACATAATGAATACGTGAAGAGACCTTAAAATCATACCTCGTCTCTCAAAAGCCTTGCTTTTTCGTCCTCTAGTTGTGTCACTAATGTCTCCAATTCCACAGTATAAGCCTGTAAAATCACCATCAAATTAACTCAAAAATCTTCAGAACAATTGAAACAATAAAGAAAAACAAAAATTATATGAATAAAAAACCTGCTTCCGTTCCCTGGACCTGGCAGCAGACTCTCTGTTTTTAATCATTCTCCTCTGCTTCTGCTGAGTGGCTTTATCGAGCACAACCTCTTCCACAGCCCTACGTTTCCCTCTACCACCGCCACCGCCACTCCGTCCCACAACCACCATTCCATTTCCAAACTCCATCCCATACCCTCCACCGGTTGATCCATTCTGCATGCACACCGCCGGAGCAAACTGCCTTGCAACCTCCACATCCACCACAGAATTCACCGTCGCATCCACACTAAACGCCGTGGTGACAGGCGGAACAGGAGCAACAGATTCCATCGTCACCACCGGAATCCTTACATCCTCCTCGCTCACCGCCCCTGCCTTTGTCAGAAAATCCTCCAAAGTCATCGCCGGCTCCCCACCCCCAGTTCCACCTCCAATTACAATCTCCCCCCACACCTCATCCACCGTCCTATTACCATCCCCATCCCCACTACCATTTCTCATTCCTCCACCAGCACCACCACCGTCCAAAACGGCATCGCCACCTCCGATGCCGTTATTCTCCACGGTAAATGAATCGGAATCAGAATAAATATTCTTCAATATTTCCTCCATACTCATAGACCCAAAATTCCGAGTCTGATCAGTACCAGAAAGTAAAGGAGAAGAAGGCGAAGTTTGACGTGGCCGATCCGGATTGGGTGGTGATGTTGACGCCATCACCTTCGACGACGCCATTTGAGCCAATTTTCTCGGAATTCAGTCAGATTTTTCTCTGAGAATTTTTCTGCTACTGAATCGAAAATCAAACCTTATTATCGTTGAGCAATTCACAACTTCAAGACTGAATTTTAGAGAGACAGAGTCTTCAGGACAGTTTGTACGTATATATAGAGAGAGAAGAAGAAGAAAGAGAGAGAGGAAAGTACCAAACAAATGGCTGCTCGCCGGAGTACTAGATAAGGCCAAAGGGAGTTTCAAACACGCTTTCTTTGGACAGACGTGGTCAAGGGTATATTTGTCATGTTACGACGTTGTTACTATGGAATTTCTCTTCAATTTTGATTTTTTTTTTCATTTGAAAAAAATAAAAAAATAAAAGTGAATGATTAGTCGTTTTTTAAGCCCAGTTTGCTAAATAATTTTGCAAAAAATGATTTATTTATAGAACGTATGATTAAAAAGTAAAACAACGCTAATTAATATTTCACTAGTGCTATAATATCAGTATTTTTCCTCTCTCTCTCTCTCTATTTTACTAAAGAGGATCGAGTACACGGAAAAGAGAATGGAAATGAGAGTTGAAAATCATCTCTTTGTCCCCATTTACGTGTAGTGTGAAGTTACGTATAATATGTGATTACTAATTTTTATTTAAATTTAGTTACATATTTCGGGTTTATTTTGTGTCCCATTTTCTTTTAGAATAGTTTTCATTATAGTGATTTTTTTTTAAAATATATGGTTAAAAAATAAAAAAGTTTTGACTTTACTTCTAGAATTATTTTTTTAAAAGAATATGTAATTAAAAATGAATCTTAGAAAGTGAGATTGAAAAAGGCTTTGTCTCGTTTCTACTTATTTTAAACGCAAACAGCAATTGAGGCTTCTAATATATTTTCCTTGTTTCACAAGTGAAAATGAATGCAGCGAATTCATTTGGCACTAATATTTTCGGTCAAGGAAGTGATCTACGTGGGACGTATAAATTATTAAGAGAAAAAGGTATATTCTGAAAACTTATGATTAATAATAATAATAATAATAATAATAAGGAAATGAAGAAAAAAGAGATCTTTCTTCATAAGGGCATGTTTGATGTAAATCCTTCGAGACTAAATTTTGTAAAAAAATTATATTTTTAGAGAATACGGAGTTAAAAAATATGAAAAGTTATGATTTAGGTATAAAATTATTTTGGTCAAAGAATGTATGATTAAAATAAAGTTGCAGAAAAAGAGTTTTAAAATTTTTATATCAAATAGAAGATTATCTTCACTTCATTTAGCTAAAAAAAATTTAATCGAAATCAATTATTTTAATCACATTTTCATGGAATGCATAACTTTTATTAATTTTTCAAATACACATTTCATCAAAATATTTTAAAAGGTGATTTTTAAAAAACTAAACAAAGCTTAGTTCCCCTTTAATAAATTTTATGAATTTTTTTTTTAATGTATTTTAAAAAGTAAGACAAAAGTTATGATTTCATGGATAAAATATTTTGGAGATGGAGAGTGCTAGATGTACACACATTTTTGTACAAAATGATTTACTTACACTCGCAATGAGAGGGTGGGGGCCATATGTTGACATTTTCTATTTCATTTGGGGTCCAAGTGTATGTGAGAGTGAGTAAAATATTTTGTACAAATGTGTGAGTATAAATATCTTTATCGAAATATTTTATTTAAAGAATTTAATTTTAAATGTTTTGTTTGTTTTTGTTAAATAATAGTACTCCCTATGTTATGGGACAATGTAGAGCGAGTAAAATTTGAGAATATTACACCCTCCCACCATAAAGATAGACTTTTCTCTTTTGTTTGTTTCAAATTATATGTTATTTTTCTCATTAAAAGTATGGTTGATTTCTTAATTTTTCAATATATCCTTATTTATTGTGGCTTGCCGTCAATAAATATGAACCGCTCACATTTAGATCATTATTTAGCATATGGACATATTAGAAAAAAATATAAGAAAAATTTATATTTTTAACTATATTAATTATATTTTTTTATTTGTGTGAAAATAAAAATAAATATATCATTCTGGGATAGATATTAATAAATAATACAAATGATATTGGCACTCCTTCTTAAGAGTGGGCGTCGTCCGATTCCTAAAGGAACCAAACCAGATCGAGTGCCAATAGGAATCATAAAAATTGAACCACTGGTTCCATTTCACTCCGGTCCGATTCTTTATATTGAAATTTATAAAAACAAAGAATGAAATTACTTATCAAATTAGATTTTATAAAAATAGATAGAATTATATCACATATCATTTTATCATACAAATCAATTAAGGGCCTATTTAAACCTCATTTTTTGTGTAGAATACATCTTGAAATAGTATATTAATGAAAATATGTGGTTAAAAAATAAGAAAAAAATTAAATTTATGTGTAATTTATTTTATTGAAGAATGCATGATGGAGAATGAGAAATAAAAAATATATTTTGAAAATAATGGAAATCGAACAAGAGCTTAGCCCCCGTTTGACTCCCATTACCTGAAAATGAAAATGGGGGGAATAATATTTTTTTTTAAATGAGTGATTGACAAAGAAGGAAATATTTTCGATTTACGTGTAATATTATTTTATGAAATATTGTATGGTTGAAAATAGGAAAGAGAAAAATTAAATATAATGTAATTGAATTTAATAGGGATCAAATGGAGGCTACTTGCTAATAAAGTAACTAACAGAAATACGCTCTACGGTTCAAGATTAATAAATAAGTGCACAAAAAGGGATAAACTATTAAACTCAATATATAGTGTAAAATCTAAATGAAAAATTAAGTCATACGAAAAATCATGCAACAATATAAGTAGATCTTGATTCCGATGATCGATCATTTTGAAAGACAACGAAAAATTTGAATTTCTTACAAAAGATTAAACTAAAAGACACTATATATGGGTTGCATTGAAGTTACGAATTTTTGTAAAGTATTTTTAAAATTATTCAGATTCGAATGTTAATTACCCATTTGGTTTTGCGGTAAAAGAAATAAGAAGAATATTACAAAAAGTGAATATTCTGTGCGAGGTAATTTTAGGATCTAATGTTCAAATATCTAATACATCTCTGTACAAATATCTACTGCATATTTGAGCAATACATCAGCATAAAGGAATTGGAGTCGAACAGGCTAATTTTATCCGATTTCGATACTGATTCAATTCCAAAAAAATAATAATAATAATAAATAAATAATAATAATAATAATAATAATAATAAAATAATAATAATAATAATAATAATAATAATAAATAAATAAATAAATAAGAAGTCCATCCCTACGGCCCTACCCCCTATTTTCTTTCTCAATTTCCGTGTTTGCTTCGTATTGTGAAACAAAACTTTTCCGATGGCGGTTGGTCAATGTTTCGTCACTTGTTTGTATTTTCAATGTATTTGTGAATAAAGTCAAAAAATCAAATTGTTCAAAAATAATTACGTAAATTTTTTATTATTAAATCATTTTGACTTTCGTTTCCGATTTTCCCCTAATTTTTTTTATTAAATAATTTTTATTAATATAATTGATGTTTTAAATATTTCAATTTTCTATTCGAACGTCACTGAACAAAACCTTCAACCCACAAAACTTTGAAAATCTGATTTGTTTTAAAAAAAAAGAAAATTTCCAAATGGTGAATATAAAGATCTCAACTCGACCTCGACATGGATGTTATTTTTAAGTGCAAATTATAGCACAAATCAAATTAGTGTAATCTTTCGTATAAAGTAATGAACGTATATAACAAATTACACAACAAGTGTCATGAAAGTACAAAACTCAATTAAAATATCAAAAATGCTGTTTGTACAGCAATTTTTACTCTTTCTAACAGGTGGGGTTCACGATTATTTTAATCATGGATCTCATCTACTTGCATATGTGTATACTGTGAAAATTGATGTACTTGTAGAATAGTTGTTAAAATATTGAATCTTAAACTTACTCATCACTTAGAGTAGGTCTACTCATAAAAATGACCAAATATCTCTCTATAAGTCGTCTATAGAAAACAAGAAAATGGTTAAATCAAATGTTTAATAAAAACTAAAAGAAGAAAACTTTAGATATACAATCTTGAGTGAATTATTCAAATAATCACTGAACTTTGAAAAAGGTTTTCACCAGGTCACTGAACTTTAAAAATCATATAATTCATCACTGAACTTTACAAAATATTTCTACGGGGTCACTGAATTTTAAAAATCACCTAATTAGTCACTAAACTTTGCAAAATATTTTCGAGAGGTCATTGAAATCACTGAATTCGATGACCCCTGGGAAATCTTTTATAAAGTTCAATGACTCCATAGAAAACTTTTGCAAATTTTAGTAATTAATAAGGTGATTTTCAAAATTCAGTGACTTTGTGGAAATCTTTTACAAAGTTCAGTGATGAATTGGATGATTTTTAAAGTGTAGTGACCCTATAAAAACTTTTTGCAAAGTTCAGTGACCATTTGAATAATTCACTCTACAATCTTCCACTCTAAAAATTGGCAATCACTCTTGAAAATTTTAACATTCTCCAATAGAGTCGTTTTTCAGGCCAGAACCTCATTGAAAACTTCTTATTTGTTCCTTGAAACAAAAAGCTCAACCAAAACACAACCAAATATCTCAAAAAGGGGGGATAAAACACAGCCAAAATTCCAAAAAATTCTGCTGCTGACGCTAGAAAATAAATTTTTTTTTTTGGTCAACACATTTCACCAAATTTAGCTTCCGCTTGTATAAATAATTAATAAATAAAATTTAACTACACATTATAACTTCTACTCATTATTATACATATTCTATAAGACCCACCATTATTCATCTTTATAAACCATCAGTAAATTTGTCGAGCGAATGCTTAAATTTTGATTCTTCTCTTCTTTTGATCATTGTGCACGACTTTTTCTTAAAAAGATGCCAAGCTAAAATCACCAATTAATTCTTCCTTCCTTCTTTCCCGATATCTCGAGTTTTCAATTAATTAAAATATAATATCCATCACTACTCAGCTCGTGTTCATCGGTGACAGCCACAAATATTTAGTTACGAAACCATTTATTTTCTCATATCAAGTCTCAATTCATTATTAATATTACGTTGTTTCAAAAAAATAAAAAAATAAAAAATTATAACTTACAAATTGACCTTACAATAAAAAAAATGTCTGATTTTACCACTAAAAACCTTGTTGGTT